CACACACACACACACACACACACACACACACACACACACACACACACACACACACACACACACACACGTGTATAGCGAGTCTACACTTACACATGAAATCACTTAAAGTCAACAAGGATTCCTACGCAGCTCTCTGAAATTCTGCTTACTGAGCGATTCCCTTATCGTTGCAACTTTGTTGTAGGTCACTCACAATATTAGTTTAATGGAATGTGTTTAACTCGATCTCACTAATGTCAACATGTCTTCCATCAGTAGATTGATATATTTAGACAAAAAAAAAAATCCAATGTTACCACAAAAAAGGACCATGCTCTGATTGCGTTTGAACATGTGGACATAGCCTTCATATATAAAAAATAAAAAAGATATTTTCACAAAGAGCATACAGCAGCTGCTCTTAATCTTAAAAGCAATCCCCACACTCCTAAAACAAATGAGGGGCTTAATCAAACAGGTGGCAGTGGTAGCTGTGTATGGCTTCTGTCAGAGTGATGTGCTCATAAGCAGCGTTCTGTCTTGCTATTCTTTAGGTGTTGAGGAACTCTCAAATCTTCCTTTTTCTATTTCTTTTACCCTGTTTCTCCTTCATGTAGTGACATTTAACTGAAGCCAGATATATTTGTGTTGCCCTTCGTCTGTCTTGTTCTTTTCCGGTGACAAAAGACACCAAGTTCTTGATACCCAGTGCATTTGTTTTTATTTGCCAGGTAGTGTTGTGGCTCGATTGATGGGGGAATGTTGGTCTAAGGACAAAGTCCATTTCTCCAAATTACTTTTAACGACATCCCCATCAGATTCAGCTGCACTGCGTTTAGTAGTAATTAGCAAATATTAGTATTGTCCCCGTAGGAATTGATGTGATGCTGATGTTAGCATTTACCTTGAAGCACTAATAGCAGCCCTTCAGAACCAGTGTGGCTGTAGACACAGTCGCGCTGTGATAATGTAACGTGTCTGCACATGTGTGCACGTGCCATCCATGAAATAACACATTCTTTTTTGATAAAGAATATTAGAGTAAAAGTAAGAGTTTTGGTTATTCCATTTTATGTTTAAGAAGCATTGTAATGGCTTTATTTGTTATTTGTTGTGGTAATGCTTTGCAATATGCATTTGCCTCATGATTAAAGTTACAACACAAGTCAAGAAAAATTACAAGTCTCTTTGAACTGATATGTATTATGGTGAACTAAATAAAAACCCACGTTTGGGTCATCACAGTTAATGAAAATGTCAAAACCAAAACCGACGCAGTTACTGAAAGAAACAAATACTCTTAATTCCTCGCTGCTACCTGTCTAGTGCTGCAAGCGAATAGTAAGCTGTGTAGCTGGGGGGGTGACAACACAGGCAAAGGCTATCTAGCACTTATAATATTAGAGAACATGGCAATGTGAAGAAGAAATGTCAGTGTTTGCATTTCTTCTTTTGAAGTGTTTCTTATCCTCTTGGGCTTTCACTCTTAACATGAGCAAACACAGTGGTGGCAAGGTCTGTCTAAAAATAACTCCACTTGACAACAAGCTGGAACAGTACCCTCTTACTTTGAAGAATTCCAATTACTGTCACCGTGTCTCCAGTGTGTGTGCGTGTGTGTCTCTGTGTGTGCAATAGACATGAAACTGAGATGTTTGTGTGTACACTATATGTATGTACACACGCGTAAGTGTGAAATGCTCTTGTAAACTGTAACTCAAGCACATTACCACTCAATCGTCTGCTACTGTCCAAACGTATTTCACAGGTATTATTTATTCAGAGTGAATTGGTCCACAGATTAATGTGTTAGTGGGAATGAGATCCTTGAATTTGAATGCAACCGTGACAAACAAACATGAAGAATACAGTGCTGGCCATCATTGATGTGTTTTATTTCCCCTCCATAATCCATCAGTAATGGTGTTCAGAGAAAATAGAACATTGAGAAAAACAAATCAAAGTGTTATCCTGCACCAATTAAACAATAGCTTTTAACAGAGCAGTATAGGAAAACCCTGGTTGCATCATTTAAAGGTCCCATGTCATGGACATTTCTACTGATCATAATTCCAATGTTGAGGTCTACTAGAATATATTTAAATTGTGCAATTTTCCAAACTCACATTGGTTTCTCATACAGCATCTCTGTATAGAATGTGTATTCGCTCTCTGTCCTAAACGGCTTGTTGGAGATCCTGCCCTTACACAAACACTCACAGCCGAAGTAAAAACAATAAGTGTGGCTTGATATTGAGTAAGAAAAAGGTTTAGAACGCTGTGAGAATGGGTCTGCAGAGAGCATTTCTCCGCCATCCCAACTCGTCTATTACCAACCAGGGAGCTCTTTGCAAGTCAATGGGACTCCCTGTTAGTTAGCCAAGGGGTCCTG